ACAGGATAGTACAACAACTGCCATAGATGCATTCCATTTGCCAAACACCCTAATTTTGTCCACGTCTTTGCTTAACAAACAAGGCAAAAAGTTTGTAAAATTGAGTATGGTCACAGGATGGCTCGTTGCGCATTCACATCGCTTAGCAAAACAGGTTCCAATCCCGGCTGTCAAGGAACACTTGTATCTGTGTATGGTTTTAGACATGATACACGGGGGACGGTGGTGGGGCATCCATTCTGCTCTGGGTCATGGAATTGAGAGGGAAGGGCAGGAATTTATGAAGGAGGAGTCAGAGTTACCGTATTTTTCGGAGTATAAAACACACCTTTTTCCCCCCCAAAAAGAGGGTGAAAATCTGGGTGTGTCTTATACTCCGAATGTAGCCCCACCCAGCTTCTCAAACAGAGGTTTCAGAGGCTGAAAAAATCATCAGAAACGAAGCTTCAGAAAAAAAAAGCCTCCAAACAGAGCTTCAGAAAAAAAGCCTCCAAACAGAGCTTCGGAGGCTTTTTTTTTTGAAGCTCTGTTTCGGAGGCTTTCAGAAGCAGAAAAAAAAAAGCAAAGCACAGAGCTCACAACCAAGGAACCTGTTGCTAAAATTCACCTCTGGAAACAGCTGATTGGGGGTATTCCGGGAGGCCGATCCACCCACCAATCAGCTTTTTTCTTATTTTCCTTGCCAAAAACTAAGGTGCGGCTTATAGTCTGAAAAATACGGTAGTTTGGTCTAGATCACGGGTGTCAAACTCATTGAGGGCCACATCAGGTTTGTGTTTGACCTGGGGGGGGCGTGGCTGGGGGGCGTGGCCAGCATGATGTCATGCCTGAGTGCTCTGCCAGCGAAAACATACTCCTGAGTTCCGTTTTCTGCTGGGATGGCCTCCTGCAACCTTCTTCCAGCAAAAATGGAGCTTGGGAGGTCCGTTCACGGCCCTCGCGAGCTCCGTTTTCACTGGCAGAGGCAATGCGGGCCAGTCCTTCGCTATTTTCAGGGCGGCCTTGCGGGCCAGATCTAAGCACCCCATGGGCCGTATCCGGCCTCCTGGGCCTTGAGTTCGACACCCCCGGTCTAGAAGTTAAGGCAGCAGTTCATAAAGTGGGAAATGGTGAGTTCTTGTCCAGCCTTAGGCATGAAAGCCAGCTGGGTGAGCCAATCATCAGGAGACAGGTAGTCTAGTTTTCAGCATGAGAGCCCAGTGGGTGACTTTGTGCCACTCCTTCTTTCTCAGCCCTACCCACCTCACAGGGTTGTTGCTATGGAGAAAATAGGAAGAAGGTGTGTCAGATATATTCGCCACCTGAAATTATTTGAAAAATAACAAAGGTGGCATACTAACATAATGTAATGTAATATATAAAATAAAAAGTAGAATAGAGTAGAATTCTGAATAGAATAGAACAGAACAGAACAGAAAAGAATAGAAAAGAAAAGAAAAGAAAAAAAAAAAAAAAAAAAGAAAAGAAAAGAAAAGAAAAGAAAAAAAGAAAAGAAAAGAAAAGAAAAGAAAAGAAAAGAAAAGAAAAGAAAAGAAAAGAAAAGAAATACACTGGGGAAGTTTTTAATAAATTCTTCCTTCTACAATCCCCAGGCAGATCTAGCTCATTTCCAAATTTGATCTTTTCTTGATCCAATCTCTCTTTCTCCCTCCCCTCTCCCCCTCTCTCTCACACCCTCTCCCCCCTCCCCCCTTTCTCTTTCCCTCCCTCTGCACCAGTGGTGGGTTGCTCCCGGTCCAGTCCGGTTCTATAGAACCGGTAGTTAAACCGGCGGAAGACTCCACCCACCTACCACGATGTCATCGTGGGTGATCTGCGCACGTGCAGAAGCGCACGCACGCACGCAAGCAAAACGAGCGCCCATGGGCACCCCCCCATTGTGAACCGGTAGTAAAGGTAAGTAGAACCGACCCCTGCTCTGCACCAGATTTGGCCCCCCTTCCGCAGAGTTCCAGAGAGTCCCCATGCAGATGGATAGACAGATGGACAGAGCGCCAGCCTTTCTTTACAGGATTCCCCCCCCCAAAACTTCTGCCAAACAAAAAGAAGGTGTCAGCGAGAACACGGTCGTGTGGGTCTGACTTGCTAAAGTGGCCCTTGAGTGGGATGGATGTGTCACACACAACCCAGTGAGCAATAGAGTAAGAGAGGATTGGTTTTCTTTCCACAGTGACTTTTGTATACAGAGTCAGATTAAGATGCTGGACTGGAAACCAGGAGAAAAGGAGTTGTAGGGATTGAGGGGGGATTGAGGGAGAGAGGAAGGAAGCAAAGAAAGAAAGAAGGAGGGAAGGAGGGATTGAGGAAGGAAGGAAGGAAAGAAAGAAAGAGAAAGAAAGAAAGAAAGAGGGAGGGAGGGAGGGAGGGAGGAAGGAAGAAAGGGGAGGAGGGAGGGAGGGAGGAAGGAAAGAAAGAAGGAAGGAGAGAGGGAGGGAAGAAGGAAGGAAGGGGAGGAGGGAGGGAAGGATTGAGGGAGGAAGGAAGAAAACAAAGAAAGAAGGAGGGAGGGATGGAAGGAAGGAAGGAAGGAAGGAAGGAAGGAAGGAAGGAAGGAAGGAAGGAAGGAAGGAAGGAATCCTAAGAGATGTTGGAGGACTTCTTATCCTACCTCCAGGGCAGGAATGCTCTCGCTATTCTCAAAAAATGGTTATCCAACCTTTGAAAGCCTCCAGTGATAGAGCCCAAAATTACTTCTACTGCTTCAAAGCTCTCACAGTTGGAAAATTCCATCTTATTTCAAGTTTGGATGTCCACCTCTTTGTTCTTGTCCTACTTTAAGGTACTCTGGAGAACAAAGCCACAACCCCTACTTTATATTAGCCCTTCAAGGATTGGAAGACTACATCCAGTCTCCATTGTATCTTCCTTGGGCTAAATGTATCCAGGTCCTTTGACCATTCTTAGTAAGATGTAACTCCCAAGTTCTTCGTTATTATTGTCTGGAGTCTTTCCAATTAGCTGAGTCTCTTCATTGTCCCATATTTTACAAGGAAGTAGTGATGTCTTCAATTACACCAATGGTCAAATAATGCCTCCTCTCAAGATGTAATTTCTTCTGATGAAGAACCCAACAGAGAGAGATTCGGGATCATAAAATCATTGAATCCTAAAGGATGTTTAAGGTCCTCTCATCTTACCTCCTGTCCAGGACAGGAATGTTCTGGCTATCCTAGACAAAGGTTATTCAACATTTGAAAGCCTCCAGAGATGGAGCCCACCATGACTTCTGCTTCAAAGCTCTCACAGTTGGGAAATTCCTCCTTATTTAGAGTTTGGATGTCCATCTCTTGGTTGTTGTCCTACCTTGAGATGTTCTGGAGAACAAATCCAGAACCTTGGACTAATCCTTTTATTTTTATAAATCAATTTTTTAAAAAAAGGATTGGAAGACTGCTCCAAGTCTTCATCTTCTCTTCTTTAGGCTAAATGTATTCAGTTCCTTTGATCATTCTTGGTAGGCTGAAGCTTCCAAGTCCTTCTCTGTCCTGTTCTTTGGACTTTCTCCAGTTAGTTGGGACTCTTCATTTTCCCATATTTTACAAGGGAGTGGAGATGTCTTCAGCTACCCCGATGATGAAGCAACCATAAAAGAAGTGCAGCCATTTCAAACTTTGTAAGAACTCACATCTTTCCCCGATGGAATGTTTCAGATCCATCCACATGGTCTCAACTAACATATCCTCTTCAGATGTAGCTACTTCTGCTGAAGAACCCAACAAATCGAGTTTCAGAATTATAAAATCATTGAATCCTAATGGATAGTGAAGGTCTTCTTATCCTACTTCCTGCCCAGGACAGAAATACTCAAGCTATCCTACGTAGGTCGTCTAATCTTTGAAAGCCTCCAGAGATAGAGTCCACCATGACTTCTACTGCTTCAGAGCTCTCACAGTTGGGAAATTCCTCCTTTTACTTTACTTTTTACTTTTATTTGATTTGTATACCGCCCTACTCCCGAAGGACTCAGGGCGGTGAACAGCCAACAATAAAATATATACATACAAAATTTAAAAAGCAAAATAAAATCGAATTAAATAGTTTGGCCCAGACAGATTAAAACCCAGTCAATTTAAAACAAATTTAAACTTTGAGGATTAAAAATATTAAAATATTAAAATTATTTAAAAAGAGGGAGAAAGTTAGGCCAGGCCCGCCTGGTGAAATAAGAAGGTCTTTAGAGCGCGGCGGAAGGTGCGCAGATCCGGGATCCTCCATATCTCCGGGGGGAGCTTGTTCCAGATAGTAGGTGCCCCCACAGAGAAGGCCCTCCCCCTGAGGGCTGCCAGTCGACATTGTTTGGCCGACAGCACCCGGAGATGCCCCTCTCTATGAGAGCGTACCGGCCGGTGGGAGGCTATTGGTGGTAGTAGGCGGTCCCGCAAGTACCCAGGTCCTGAGTCATGGAGCGCTTTAAAGGTGGTGACCAAAACCTTGAAGCGCACCCGGAAGACCACCGGGAGCCAGTGCAGCTCGCGCAGGAGGGGTGTTACATGGGAACGCCATGTCGCTCCCATTACCACCCGCGCGGCCGCACTCTGCGCCAGTTGGACCCTCCGGGTGCTCCTCAAGGGGAGCCCCATGTAGAGAGCGTTGCAATAGTCCAGGCGGGAGGTGACGAGGGCATGAGTGACCATGCGTAAGGAGTCCCGATCCAGAAAGGGACGCAACTGGCGAATCAGGCGGACCTGATGAAAAATCCTCCCGGTCACGGCCGTCAAGTGCTCTTCTAAAGACAGCCGTGAATCCAGGAGGACACCCAAGTTGCGCGCCCTCTCCATGGGGGCTAATTATTCGCCCCCAATAGTCAGTGGTGGCACCAACTGACTATATCGGGACGTGGGAAACCACAGCCACTCGGTCTTGGATGGGTTGAGCCTGAGCCTGTTCCTCCCCATCCAGATCCATACGGCCTCCAGGCACCGGGACATCACTTCAAGGGCATCCTTGGGGAGGTCTCCTTATTTAGAATTTGGATATCCATCTCTTGGTTGTTGTCCTACCTTGAGATGTTCTGGAGAACAAATCCACAGCTTCTCCCTTATATTAGTCCTTCAAAGTTTGGAAGTCCACATTAAATCTCCAGCTTTTCTTCTTTGGGTTAAACATACCCATTTGACCATTCTTGGAAGGATTCAGCTTCCAAGTTCTTCTCTCCTTCTTTAGCATTATTCTCTGGTGTCTTCCATGAACCGTGACTCTTCGTTGTCTCGTATTTCACAATATCTTCAGCTCCATCGATAGTGAAGCCGACTCAAAACTTGGTTAAGATGCAGACCCAATTTCTCTATAGGCGATGATTATATTTGACTTTCTTTGGGGGGGGGGAACCGAGGAGATGGCATTCTTGGAAGACAAACCGGTTTCCCCCCTCCCGTTGTCATGGCAACTGGCCATTTTTTTTCTCCTCCCCCCCCCCCCCAACCCCTCCTGTTTTAATTTTTTCCCCCTCCTCCTAGGTTATTTTTATTGTTGTTATTGCTGTCTTTTTTTTTTTTTTTTTGGCATCCTGAACTTTTGATTGCTATGGTAACATCTGAGATGTGATTTTATTCCATGTCACCGATAATTGATTCTCGAGAAGGCAATTGTGTTTTGCAGTTTGGGGAAGGATTAGAAGTCACAAAAATCAAGGTAGCAAGCCACTTTACTCCTGAAGTGTCACGAGAAGGTTTTGTAAAACCTAAATTAGCCAGCCCCTTCTGTTCCAAACAACTCTTGCGCTTTTAATTATTTATTTACTAAATTCCCATGCCGCCAATCTCACTAGTACAGTAGTCCTTGACTTACAACAATTCGTTTAGTGACCGTTTTTCACACTTATGACCGTTGCAGCATCTCCTCCATGGTCACATGATCAGGCACTTTTTCAGTGCCCTTGTAACTTCAAACAATCAATAAGTTGTAAATCGAGGACTTCTTGAAGTGATTAGATTTTCATCCTGGCTTGATTGCTTTATATGGAACTCAAGGCAGCAAATCCTGCTTCTGTTCTGTGTTGTTTTGTGTTGTTTTACTTTAGAGGAGAGAGGACGGTTGTTTATTTGTATTGGGCACCTCGCCCCACACCTCCCCACCAGTATTTATAGAGAGACAGCAGCTCCGATCATGCTTTCCTCGCACAAGCACGAAGCCGAAGACACCAGCCTGAAGATAACGAGTGGGACCTTGTCAAAACGTCGCCAAAATACTCTCAGTCTTACACGGGAAAAAACCCAAATACACCAAAACTTGCATACCTCTACCCGTGAAAAGGCCCTGCAAAAAGTGACTCCTGACCAGAGGTGGGATTCATACTGTAGCAACTGGTTCACCCAGTACCGGAAATGTGAGCGTGCCCGGCATCACAAAACACCACAATTCACTTATGTACAATTTCCATACATTTGTGCAACATCAAACATGGCAATTTGCTCACGCACGCCGTCCGCACGTACGTGCAATGCAGCAGTGGGTTGTTCCTGGTTCGGCCCGGTTCGGGCGAGCCGGTAGTGGTGATAATGTGACGTCAGCGAACCGGTTCTCTGTGACTGAGAGTTGGGCCCTCCCGCCCGCCCCCGCATTATACCTACCTTTATTTGTCATTTTTTAGCCCAGTTGATAGGTGCAGCAGAGTGGATTGCTGCACCTCAGCTGGGCAGAAATCTAATGCGCTTGCATGGAGCACAAATTCGGTGCGTGTGCGAGCGAAGCGATCATGTGTGCGGTGATAGCGCACAAGGCACATGCACGAAGAGAACCGGTGGTAACACTAGTTGGAACCCGCCACTGGTGCGACATCAAAAACACAGCGATATAGAACGGAATTGCACCTGGGCAGGTGGGCGGGGGCAGACCCATCCGTAGGTCGCCCCTACCGGTTCACCCAGATCGTTCCGAACAGGCTGAATACCACCTCTGCTCATGTCCATTTTTTTACACTTACAGCCATTGCAGCTTCCCCCGGATCACATGAGCGAAATTCAGATACTTGGCAACTGGTTCATATTTATGACGGTCGTAGTCTCCCAGCGTCACATGGTCCCCTTTTAGCAAAGTCAATGGGGGAAGCCAGATTCACTGAGCAACCGTTCCTGACTTAACAACTGCAGGGATTCGCTTAACAACGGTGTGGCAAGGAAGGTTGTAAAATGGGGCAAAGTTCACTTAACCAACGTTTCACTTTGCAACTGAAATTTTGGGCTCCATTGTGGTCGCAAATCGAGGAGTGCCTGTGTTTTTAACGAGTGGCTGCTCGTCAGCATGTCTGACGCTTTGCATGAAAATTATAACTCTGGGTCCTAATTTAGAGGAATATAACTTTACATTTGACAATCTCTAGGCTGCAATTATTTGGCCTTCAGAGATAGGCATGACAAAGAAAAGCTGAAAAGAAATAAAATTGTTATCTCCACAGCCCACTAATGGACACAGTGTCCATAAAGCAATTAATCTCCATCAGTGCTTTATATCTTGTCCCCCGGAGATCACAAAAATACGCACAGACACACACACACAGAGGCACAAAGTCCAACCCTCAGATATTCTGGTGCACAAAACAAAGAGAAGGAAGAGTTGTCTTATACAGCGACGTTTCTCACATCCTATTTCGATGCAGCCTGATTTTGTTGCTGCTTGGAATACAGGTAGTCTTAGGGTTACGACCACAACCGAGCCCCAAGTATCGGTTGTTAAGTGAGACAATTAAACACAAGTGAATTTAGCCCCGTTCTACGACCTTTCTTGCCACAGCTGTTAGCTGAATCACTGCAGTTGTTAAGGTACTCACAAGGTTGTTAAGTGAATTTCGCCTCCCTATTGATTTTGTTCGTCAGAAGTTCGCAAAAGGGGATCACATGACCCCTGGGAAACTGCAACCGTCATAAATATGAATCAGTTGCCAAGCCTCATGAATTTTGATCACGTGACCATGCAGAAGCTGCAATGGCCGTGCAGGCGGGTGGTTCGGAGAACCGGTAGCAAAAATCCTTGCCCCCCCCCCAATGCCCAGCTTAGCCGCACAATCATCAGAGGCTTTTTTTTTTATTTTTAAAAGCATTTTTTCTACAACCTTTTCGGTCGAAAAAATGCTTTTAAAAGTAAAAAAAAAAGCCTCTGATGACGTGCGTCTCAGCTGGGATCGTCAGAGGCTTTTGAAAGCATTTTTTTCTGCAACCTCTTCAGAGGTTGTAGAAAAAATGCTTTTAAAAGCCTCTGACGATCCCAGCTGATGTGCCTGATCAGCAGAGGCTTTTTTTCTTTTAAAACCATTTTTTCTACAACCTCTTCGGCTGAAGAGGTTGTAAAAAAAAATGCTTTTAAAAGCCTCTGAGGATCCCAGCTGAGTTGCCTGATCGTCAGAGGCTTTTAAAAGAAAAAAAGCTTCTGCTGATCAGGCAACTCAGCTGGGATCGTCAGAGTCGGTAGTAACAAATTTCACCACTGCGGCTGTGGTATCCCAAGGTCATGTGATCTCCTTTTGCGACCTTCTGACAAGCAAAGTCAATGGGGAAACTAGATTCACTTAACAACCAGGTTACTAACCCATCCACCGCATTGATTCACTTAACAACGGTGGCAAGAAAGGTCGTAAAAGGAGGTAAAATTCCCTTAATAAATGTCTCACTTAACAACACAAATTTTGGGCCTCCGTTTTGTTCATAAGTCGAGGACTAGCTGTGTAACATATTTTGCCAAGTGCCCGAATTTTGTAAAAGACTGCCTGTTAAAAATGAAAACATTTAATATTAAAGTTTTAGCCTTAAAAATTTAAACAATTAGAAAAAAATTTAAGGCGGCAGGAATAATTATTTTCATTCTTCTACAATCTGCAAGTTTGCTGTTTTGTTTTGTACTTTTTTAAAAAAAAATTTAAGGGCTCTTCTCCAGGGAGTCCTTCCTTCTCATTAGGTGGCCAAAGTATTTGAGTTTCCTCTTCAGGATCTGGCCTTCTAAAGAGCAGTTGGGGTTGATCTCCTCTAGGACTGACCGGTTGGATGGCCTTGCAGTCCAAGGGACTCACAGGAGTCTTCTCCAGCACCAGAGTTCAAAGGCCTCCATTCTTTGGCCTTCTCAGCCTTTCTTATGGTCCAACTTTCACAGCCACACATTGCAACTGGGAAAACCATCGCCTTGACTATACGCACTTTTGTTGGCAGGGTGAGGTCTCTGCTTTTTAGTATGCTGTCTAGATTTGCCATGGCTTTCCTCCCCAAGAGCAAGCGTCTTTTAATTTCTTGGCTGCAGTCCCCATCTGCGGTAAAATCTGTCACTACCTCCATTTCTTCCCCATCTATTTGCCAGGACTTGAGAGAGCTGGATGCCATGATCTTAGTTTTCTTAATGTTGAGTTTCAAGATTCAATGAAGGACTCACTGGAGAAGAGTCTAATGCTGGGAAAGAACGAGGTGGCTGGATGGAGTCACTGAAGAAGTCGGCGTGAGCTTAAATGGACTCCAGAGGATGGCAGAGGACAGGGAAGCCTGGAGGAACGTTGTCCACAGGGTCGCGATGGGTTGGACACGACTTTGCAACTAACAACAAAATTTTAAGGGCACAGTTGCAGCTACTCGGTGCCTCTTTGACGGGTGTGACCATCCTTTGATTTACACTCATCTTAAAGAGCCTTGATAGTACAGTAGTTTAGTGCACCCTGTTATTAACACAGCTGCCTGCAATTACTGCTGGTTCGAATCTCGCCAAGGCTCAAGGTTGACTCAGCCTTCCATCCTTTCAAAGGTAGGTGAAATGAGGACCCAGTTTGTGGGGGCAATAAGCTGACTTTGTATAAAATATACAAAAGTATGAAGGCTATTGCTTAGCGCATTGTAAGCCGCCCTGAGTCTCCGGAGAAGGGCGGCATATAAATCAAATTAAAAAAAAAAAAAGTGGTTTATGGTTCTGTTGCAAGTGTTTGTGGATAGATTGTGAAAAGCCATACTGTTGTCCCTTTCATTTAATCTCAAAACAGGGACTCCATGGCCCATGTTCATCAGTGCAAACCCCCCCTCCCCATCCTCTCTGCGTGTGGACGTGCACACCCTGTTGTGTTTCTCTCCAGCCTTCATCTCAATTGCACACTCCTCGCGCTCCTCGCACATGAGTCCAGATGGCAA